TATATATATATATATATATATATATATATAGAGAGAGAGAGAGAGAGAGAAATCTATACACAAATTCTACAATTTTTATTTTAGATTTTATTTACATTTTCTTAATTAAATTACTGAAATGATTCAATTATTTACATTTGACTTAATCTACTGTTATTTTATTCTCTTATTTTAATTTACATTGTACAATTTCTCATTGTACGACAGCAAATGTTTTAGCAATAAAAAATTCAGTTTTTTGTCTTGCCAATAAAACACACTAAATTCGAAAAACTGACATACAGAGACAGAATAAAAGTAAAAGTGAGAGAGAAAGAAAGGCGTTGGGAGCCCATTTGTGCAACTTTTCTGTCTTTTCATTTCCTCATTCATTTCATCTCCAACAAAACTGCCACAGTGAACGCTTTCCTGATTCATACACATGCCAAAATGATTCAGTCTGAAAGCAAATCCAACAATTTCTGAAATCTGTTCCCAAAAAAACAAACAAAAAAAACGTTATGCCCTCCAACGCTCTGCCGTCTCTTTACCCCTGACACACACACCCACTTTTTCTCTGGCTGCATGCTGCTCTCGTCTCTCTCGCTCGCTTGCAGTTTTGCAGCATTCTATTCCCCTGCCAGCAATAGAAGCGACTTCAATTCCAGCTTTATTGCTGTTCACTGTTATTACACGGAGCGCGAGCAATGTCATCCACAGGACTGATCACATCAGCACTCCCTTCTTTTCATCTATCCATCTCTCCCTCCACCCAACTCACTCTCGTTTTCTATTCAGTCATTTCATTCCTTTTCTTTCAAAACCCATGCTGGCTTGTTACAATTTGCCGTTCTCCTCCATACATTGTTTTGTTTCTCTCTTTAGATTTATTCACTTGTTTAACAACCTCTCTCTTCAGAAAACATTTGTTTGCTTTTCATTAGTTGCATTATTGCCCAATCAGGCAGGAACGGAGAGTTACAGGTTGCTCTATTACCTGACAAACACTGTCAAAATGAACTCGACGTCTCATATCCCTGGATGCCCTCGCCGTGTAGGGGAAATGATTTTCATATTCGATCTGCCAAAGCTCTTATTGACGCGACACTGGCTGTATAACCCAGCTGTTGTGTTTACTGAAATGGGTTTCTGAGAAGTAGATAGATAAATAACGGCTGCCCACGCTCATTTGAGGTGATTAGCTCAATTCACTTGCGCGTCTGGTAATGAGAGAAAATATGCAAGCAAATCAATTTAGGCACCAACAAATGAGTCAATCATTTCAGTTTCAAATTAACTCAGGTAATCTGGCTTTATAATATGTGACAGACATAATAAAGATGAGAAAATGGGGGGGGGAGCTCAATCAAGGGTAAAATGGGTTCTCGGACCAAAATTCTCTTATGCACTTTTAAGCACACACACAAACGCTCAACTACACACAGTTTTGTTTAATCATTCACATTCATTCATTCATTCATTCATGTTTTCATCTGTACAGTCTTTTTATTAAGCTCTCCAGACCTCAGGAAGGATATCTTCCTATTTTAGCACTGGAAATTTAGTATATTTATTATTTTGAGAGACTGATTATACATATTTTGTATGTTCATCACAGGAACTTCTATCTTGGTCGGCATTTAATACACGATTGTATTTTGACTGACTTTTGTGTCATCCTCAAAAAGAACAGTCTTATAAATAACTAATTCTAAAAATATATATGATATATAAAAAAAAAAATATATATATATATATATATATATATATATAAATAGAATACAATTACTTTAACATAAATTTGTGCATTTAAAAAAGGAGGTTTATGGAAAGCCCCCATTCAGATAAACGGTACAGTGCGCAAATGTGTGTTATATGCTATAAAGCATGCTATAAAAGGTATGTAAAACATAATGAGTGTTTCTAAAGCATGATCATTTTGAAATAAATATTATTATTATAAGAATTGAAATTTATATAGTTTTATATAAACAAAACAGGAATTCAGTTCACCTGTAGATCCCAAAGAGGAGGTGCCCGACAGGTGTAGAACATCTTGAGTCTCTCAGTGACGGGACAGTTCCTCTCACTAAAGAAATCCACCAAGGTCTGAAAGAGAACAAAATGACGTTTAAAACACTTCCAGGCTCATTTTCTACCATTGCTGCTTTTACGAATGACATTTTTCTCTTCTATGTTGAAATAACACAGATTTTCCTCAGAGTTTGCTACAAGAAAACAAGGTAGTTCATAGAACTGAGCATCCATGAGCAAGGATTTCAAATCATGAACTTCCAGAGGGTCCCGCAACAGCCGAGCAGCTGCCTTTAAGACAGATGTTAACAGATATCTCTCTCCAGGTATTACAGACATTCTTTGAACACAAAGACATTAATATAAAGAGCATTTTTAATGTGCTTAATGTTTAGTGTGATATGTGAGAATGTTAAAAACACCCCTAAGCAATTAAGACGCATTGTGGGGAAAACAATTTAAAAACTATTCCAGTGACTCATTAAGCTTTGATTTACTGCTCACCACAGACCTAAATATATTTCCCAATCAATAACAAGATGGCAAAAAGTGATCCAGAAGAAAAAAAAATAAAAAATAAAAAATTAAATCACAAATTCCAAGAATGATGGCAATAACTAATAGATCTGCCAGCACATGCCAAAATGACAGCATATTTATTCAAATTTTTTGAAAGACATGCCTCTGCTCTCCACAGAGAAACGCTACAGGGTTTGACTGCTGCGTAAACTCAGTTAAAGCATGTGCGGGCCTGCTATTTGAGACTCTAGTGAGAAGATCAACACTCATTCTGTTCACAAACCATATTTCAATATTTCAAAAAGCAGTAAGATAGAACACAATAACACATTGTAGCTGTGTACATGCAAAAAAGGCCGCAAATGCAAATTAGAAGCATCCTTAACAGACTGAAAATGATCGTACACAGAATGCTGTCTTTGGTCATTACCCTACAAATCTTTGATTGATACCCCCAGCTGTCAATTATTATGAAAATATGGACTGCAAACAGCACCAATATGAAGCGAAGACAGGAAAGCTGTGCCATACTGTACCAGCTTCAATATCTCCCCCCAAGATCCTGTAAATAACTTCATGTGGAACTGATGTCTGCAACATTTGAGTTCCAGAACATTTCAGAATCAAGCAAAAGTAAAGAAATGTTACATATTCCAGAAAATGCATTTCGTAAACTGACGACAAAATGCAATAAAGATGCAATTTTCCAGCTCCAGTTGGGGGTTCACTTAGGAAATCATCTGGAAATAAAACTTCCGACTGAGTAGATACAATCAGTTTCTATGGAGGATGGCAAAGCTTGTCTGTGGGTAGCAGATAACTAATTACTTCTTTAGCATTTCCAGGGCTGGAAAATGCCTCGCATATATAAATGCTAATCTACCGATCAGGAAGGGTTGAGGGAGCAGTTGAGAAATTAATTCTGATGTGGAAGGACACCATGGCTACACAGTAAATACGCACATCACTGAGATGTCTATTAGAAAGTGCATCACAATCTACTTTTTACAATTTAAATCTTTGAAAATTCTAATATTTTAAATAAATATTTCTCTCAAATTAAATAATGATTATTTATTTTATTCTACTGTTGTAAGCCAATGAGTTTTGATATATAAGATATAAAACATTAATAAAATATGTTACATATAAATTAAATTATAAATTTTATAACATTTCAATCTAAAATCCCAGATTGTGCTTTTAAGGTGTACCCAGTATACGCATTCCTTTTATTAAAGGGGTGGTTCACTGGTTTTTTTCTAGGCTTGATTGTGTTTATGGGGTGCAGTCTAACATGTGTTAATGCTTCGTTTTTAAAAACAATAATTATTTTTCACATAATTTACCTTTATTCCACACCGCTCTGTCTCTTCTCTGAGAAACACGCTGATCATTTCCTGCTTTTATGAAGCCCCGCCCTCAGAAATAGGCAATTGGCTAAACCGCCTCTAGTGCGCATCTAAACGTCCCGCCCTCACCTCAGCGGCATGTGCTCCGGTTGTATTGTAAACAACAGCGTCGTTAATATCGCTTATCAGTTTGAGCCCGATTGAGAAGCAGAGGATATTATTGAAGAGGATCGTGCAGAACCTGTGCAAGCACGGCTTTTAATGGTAGGCCTATGTTTTTTGTTTGTTGTTGTCTCATACTTTTAGATACGCTGTTATTTGTAAATGCTACTGCTTACGTTAGCTTTTAATATACGGTTTTATCCTGATTAAAGCTTTAATACAGTACGGCAACTGCACGC